CATTCGACCTGCTCCTGGCCAGTATCCCTTTTCGAATGAGTGGATTACCCATAAGATAAAGCAGCGTAAGCGTCCCGACTCTTCACAGTTCGCTGATATGCTAGAAGAGTTAAACAAACACGTATGGAGCGCTCGTCGACTTACCAAAGATACTTCTTTACTTAATCATGTTAGTATCTGTGTTGACAAAAGTGCTCCTCGTCTTAACGATCCTTGTAAGCTTCTTCGTTTGTCGTCTTTTACTTACTGATTGTTTGGTCTCGCGTTTCTGCATTTATTTGAAAAGCACGTAAGGCTGGTGTGTTTGTTTGTACTTGATCATTTTTTTTTTTAGTAAAAGCATTGGCCCGCTTCGAGAAGAAGAAGGCTGAAGCGGCCCGCCAATCGGTTGCTCAAGAGCTCGGGGGTGGCTCGAGTTCTGTCGCTTCACCGGCGGCGGTCGTGACGACTGCCGCAAAGAAGGCTAAAGTTGTTCTTCCCTCCGCCTCTGTTCCTAGCAAGCCGTCGGGTCCTCCTTCCCGCAAGAGGTCTCATGATCAAAGGGACAAAGCGTTAGCCTTCGACTCTTCAAAGCTCCAAAAGGGAAAAGAGTCGACAGCTGAGGTCGACACGGTTCTGCCCCCGATTAGAGAGAATGTGGGGCAGTCGTCGCCTATGAGAGTGCAGTCGGTAACCATCCAACAACCCTCTCGGCTTTATGATAACCCCGACTCCCTCCAGATCCTCAACTATCTTCAGTCAATTCTTCTCGAGGACGACCAAGTTTGGACCGATGGAAATCCCTGTCTTCGGGCCCGTTATGCGGCTCGGCTCATTCCTCGGGTAAATTTAATCTTTGTGTGCTTTTCTTCCCTTTCTTTTCTTATTTCCAGTCAGCTTGCCGCTTTATCTGTTCGTTCTCTTCTCTCTTTTTTGTGTTAGCTTCTTGCATGTATTCTCCCAACTATGATCGAGGAGGCGACCTCTCCTGAGAACAACGTCAAGGTCTTGGGGGAGAAATACACGGCTAAGTGTAAAGAGCTCGCTGCCAAGGAGGAGGAGCTTGAGGCCGCTAACGCCATCATCGCAAAACTCCGTTCTGACAAGGAGGCGGTTGTCCGTAAGGCTGAGCGACTAAGGGTCGACTTGGCCAAGGCGAGCGATGAAATCCTGGTTGAGCGGGAGAATGGGATAGAGGAAGGTCGACGGACCTTCTTGAAGTCCACCGCAGGAGCGGTTTTTCTTGAGCACTACCGCAAGGCTGTTGTAATATCCCGACTTTTTATCAGTATAATAATATTTTAGTTCCGATATTATTTTTCAGAATTAATTATTTTCAGTTATTTCAGTCGATATTACCGGAACTATTTTCGACGTACCGTTGACGTTCAAAATAATTTTGGTAATTAAACATTATGTTTAATTGGATAATTAAACATAATTGAGGGATTAAGTACTAATTAATCCAAGCTTAAGCTAAATGCCGTGCACATTGTTGCTATTGGCCGTGTGCTTTCATATATGTGTTAGTGTTAGTAAAATTTGTTCAAGTTCATGTCCATAATGCCGTGCAATGTATTAGTAATATTTTGTCCCATTCATGTGCCACTGCCGTGAGTTATGTGTGCATGTGTAGTCAAGAGATTCTCCCAACATCATGCTAGAAGACCGTGCACCACCTTTGTCCTTTCATGCCATGGGAGTGTGCTCCATTTTGACCTTACTCCTCCTTGTTTTTGCCGTGCATGTGTGTGTGGGAAATTGTTCAAGCATTTGTCTTCTTTTTTTTTCTTTTGGCTTGGCA